CTATCGCCACATCTTCGCCTTCGCCTTCGCTGCCCGCGGTGGAAACACCGACGATGGCGGCTGAAGCGGACCGTGAATACCGGCGGCGAGTGGGCGAAGACCTGAGGGAGGAGTTCGACTCTTCCGACGGCTCTCTGCGCGACGCAGCCCTGGACAATATCCCTGAGCATCTTAGCCCGGGTATCGTCGAGGCGGTTACCGCGTCCGATGGGATCACCACCGTGTACATCCTCACGGCGCCGCTACCTTCGGAGTTCACCTCCTACGTCGAACGTCTCCAGGCTATCATGAATCGGGCCCTGCGCGCGTCCGTCAAGAAACGACGCCCGTACCACTTCGACGAAGGGCGCCTCCTCACCAAAACCCTCGCGTACGGTGCGGAATCGATACAGGAGCTGGACGCGACCTGCGCCATGCTGCACATGCGCGTCGTCGAAGGCATGAAGATTATCAACATCCTTCTTAACGAGCTTGTCGGCGGGCCTGTCACTCAGTCGCCGAAGCTCTCCGAACCCGAGCGACGGCCTAAGCTACCCGTCGACGACGAAGCGGCACCCAAAATATATCGCGACTACTATCTCAAAAGCGAACGCGCTCGTTCTTACGTCCCGAGTGCGGCCTTCCAAGGGGTAACCCAGGAATGGCCCCTCGACACGTACTGGCCCGTGGATCCCGAGTTCGGCGTCGAGACGATGGCCGAGGTGAGCGAAGGAGTTCCTGAAACCCCGGCTACGACCACCAACTTCGCGAACGCTCGGACCCCGCACGTATATCGTAGCTCTGCACGTAAGCCGTGGGGCACCAATACCCGCGCTACCGACTCACCGTCGGAGGCCGCAGAAGAGCAAGAGCGCGCCTCCCTCGCCGTGCGCTGGAAGCAGGATCCGCGTCCTAGCTTAGTGCAGGGACTGGCCACGGCTCAGCCCGTGCCCGGAGCGAGAGCTCCTGAGGCGCGAGGTAGAGTCAGTGCGTACGGAATGCTTGCGGAACCTTCTCAGTCCGCTACCGCTACCCCCGCGAATGTCCGACGTCACCACGTCACTCTCCCGACTTCAGATCCTTCACCTACACCTCCTCCCCGCGAAATCTCTGTCAACGCTCCAGTAGCCGAGAGACGCGCGTCTCGCGCTAAGCCGCCACATCAGCCAGCCACGCCTACCCCGAGCGAACCTTCGTCTCACTCGGGCTCCTCGGGTAACCCGCGTCGTCGTCG